TTTTTTTTTCTCCTGGAGAAAATATTTCCTTCCTTTCTTTTTTTTAAAAATCTCAAGTAAAATTTATTCATTCTATGTGTTTATCATAATATGTATCTCAGTACCATTCATTCCCTGTCCCTTCACATCTGCCCTCCATCCTTGCATGTTCCTATCCCCCAAATTAAACAAAATCCAAAAGATAAAGATAAAGAAAATAAAATGAGAAAAAATTTTAAATGTAAAGAATTTAAAATCTTACCATGAAAGTTTTAGTACAACACAAATCAAGCCATATATTCCTTTGTCCATACATCTCAACTTGCAAGTTTTCATTGCAAAGAGTCATTGGTCTGGTTTGGGGCTCCTGGAATCCACTACATATTTAGATGCTGGGCTCTCACCAGGACTCTTCCTGGACAGCCTGCTGGTGCTCTGTGTTATGGAGATCCTGAAGGTTTGGGTCTGTGGGTCAGGTCCCTTGAAGTGCTCCTAGATATCATAGATGTGGTGGGCAATGGGGCTAGCCACATCAAAACCCTGGGTCTAGGCCTGGGCAACCATAGGGTTGACCCACCACATGAGAAATGGTGAGAGCTCTCTCTAATACCCAGGGATGTAAATCTTAATGGTTACAAGTAGATGCTTAAAGTCAACACAAAGGCCATCAACAGGGAAAGTCTTAAGGGAATAAGTTGCACTTGGCTAATTATTTATATAATGTGTTATTATTTTTAATCTATTTCTATTTTTTTTCCATTCAAGGCAAGGGAAATGCTATGTTTAGCTATTTCCTTCCATGTTTTTCTTGATGCTTTCCAATCTACCTTTACAAATTTATCCAAATAATACAGATTTGTTATATTTCACTCTTTTACAAACTAATGCAGTCCACCTTATGCTTCCATAAACTTGGTATACTGAACAAGAAGGTTAAAAGTTAAGGTCTTCTGGAATATACTGTTCTAACCCAGGGGTTTGGGAAATAAAATGGTGGGTAGTCATTCAAAATCTTGGAGGTGGAGAGGTGACTATATATAGTTCAGAGATATTGCTGTTCTTTGAGAAGAGCCAAGTTCAATTCCTAGCACCCATATTGGCCAATTCCAATTGCCTATAACTCCAGTCCCAGAGGACACAATGCTCTATTCTGGCCTCCCATGACATTTGTGTACATAATGAGCACATGCACACACACACACACACACACACACACACACACACTCCAGAGAAAAGCAGAAAAAAATAGCTATTTCTAAAATAAAAAAACAGAGTGAAACAAACACAATAGACAGTACTAATTTTGATTTTCAGCTATACCCTTGTCAGTTCAGTCATATTACGTTCTTACTTTGCAGAAATCTCTGGAGCATATTGATGTATTGATAATTTGTTCTTTCTGTGTGATCACAAAAAAAGTATTGGAATACTTGATAATCAAATGTGTATCACCCTTCCTATGTTATGGTTGAAAGAGGCAATTAGGAAATCTGTAAGGTCTAATGGCACTCAGCATAATACACAGAACTCAAAAGATACAGTCAGAACTCAGAAATCCTCTAGCCCTAGATCATCCTGAAGTTCAGAAAAGAAAAAAAATGAAGGAGCTTTGTCAGAATTTGGGCATCCATAGTGTAGTCCCTCTCACCAAAATAAGTAAAATTGAACAGTATCATTTGTATATGCTGCAGACTAAATCACACCAATGCTTGGGCTACATGTATTTTTAGATGACAATGACCAGGTGAGTGCTGTCAAAGTGCTTAATCAAAGTGAAATCATTCCCTCTTCTGCTAAAATGCAGATAATGTATCCCTTCCTGAGTTGGTGCAAAATTCAAACCGAATGAGCTGTAATAGTAGAACTTTGCAAGTGTGTGACCAACTAAGGACCTCTTCTCATGTGAGCTTCTTCTTTTTACATTTTTTAAGTGTAGCAGATAGTTCTTCCTGCAAGCCTGGTCCCATAGCTTTGTCACCCCAAATGAACACTCAGAAACATATTAATTATAATACTCTTGGCCAATGGCTTGGGCTGTTTATTGGGTAGTTCTGCCTTAATTATTAACCCATAATTACTAATCTATGTGTTTCTACATGGCCTTATTTTACCATAGAATGCCTGATTCGCATCGTTTCTTCCCAGGTTCACATGAAGACTCTTCTCTGTCTATACCTCCCAGAATTCTCCTTGTCGTCTATCTTCCTGCCTGGTCAATCAATGTTTTACTCATTAACCAATAAGAGAAGCATATATACAGAAGGGACATCCTCATCACTTAATTGTGGGAGCCACACTGGCCGTATTTAAACCACTTCAGCCAAAGAAAGAGAAATTACATATTGATGTCTGATTGATCACACCACAGCAGACCATGGTCACTTCTCCCTGCCACCCCCCTCCCCGCCTTTATCTGCACCCACAGTATGAGGCCACATATGAAAGATGAAACATTCTCTCTCTCCCCCCTTCCAATCCCACCAGCCACGGAGCCATAACTGCTCAACCACTTTTCTCTACAATCTACAGGTTAGGGAAGAGTGGAAAATAAGAAGAGAAAGAAACAAGACATAAGGGCATGAAGGGGTTAAGTTGAGAAAGCATGAAATCCTGGAGACACTTCATCTGCTAGCTTACAAGAGTAGCTCTAACCCTGAGCAACATACCACAGGAAACTGAGTTCACAAAAGGCCAAAAGGGTCAACTGTGGTATCATTTCTCACCTTTATCTATTGATCCATCTCCTCAGAGTATTAGATGGAGGGAGCAGTTCACAGTACAATGAGTGATCACTACAATGCAGTAATTATGAATGACTAAGTCCATTCAGATATCAGGATCAAGATCATATAGATCTTACAAGGGAGAGTGAGCATATACCTTATCAATATGCCACAAACTCTCTCTCATCTCCATATACATATGTGTATGCATGTATGTGTGTGTGTGTACATCATGTTTAATAATTTAATTTGTTTTCTCATTTTATAAAGTTTTAATTCATATTTGCCTCTAGAAAGCATTAAAAATTCAATGGTTTTTCATTATAATTTTAACTTTTAAGTCAATGTTCAGAACCTTAAATTCTCAATTTTTAACCTCTGCTGCATTCAATACATTTCAAAAAATAACATCGTTGGCCTGCCATTAGTCTCGCAATGTCCCAAAACAAATGTGAAAATTTCCTTCTATACCTAACAATTGTAAATGGTGCCAGAATTTAGTCAGATTACCAGGCTAGAAATTCAATGATGGTGACCATCTTCTGCCTACATACATCACAAGCTTCCCGTTGCCTCTATAATACTGTAGTTCTACAACAAGCCTGCATTCCCTTTAGTAGTCTACTACTTTCCTCCAACACTCGCATCACTTCACTCTTGTCCCAAGCAAGTATCATATTTCTCCCCTCCTCCTGCCTGGGATGCCATCTTTAAATTTCATTACCTGAAAGCCTACACTTAAAACAGAATTCCACATCTGTGTCACAGTAGCACCTAGCCATGCATGTGCACCTCTGTGAACACACACATCTCCCTAGTTAGAATACTAAACAAGCTCTTATCTCCACAGCTTCCATGTATGCTTAGCATAAAAAAGCACTCAATAACTGCTAGCTTTTTAAAATAACCAATATAGTGACACTGATGATACAGGAGAACACTCATTACATAATAAGTAACAGAAAATTTCTCTAAATGACTATGAGTAAAATAAGATCTGATGCTTTCAGAGAAGGAATTCTTACAGGAGAAAACTCTGGAAGGTTTTCCCCAGCCTTTGAAGTTACACAGTCATGATTAGGTAAGACAACTGTTTTATCTCCCTTTGCTGGAAAATTTTCAGGAAACCAGAGCAGCTTTCTGTCTAACTGCATGTACCAAACAGTTGCTAAAGAGGCAAACACACATAAAATATGTCTGTCTTATTAAGCAAAAGAACTTTGCATCTGTAACTTCACTCTGCAGAAATGTGCACATATGTGTATGGGTGTACATACCAGTTCTTGTATGAATAGTAACCTCAGTTACCTTCTATAGCTCTCTGACTTTTTCTTTGAAATAGGGTCTCTCAAGTGAATCTGGAACAATGCTGATAAACAGTGTGCTTTCCTCCCACTGGAGTTACAAGCACACAGCCATGTCCAATTTTATTTTATATTATTTTATTTTATTTTCTCATTTTTCAGGACAGGGATTCTCCATATTGCTTTGGATCCTATTCTGGAACTATCTTTATATATTGGGCTGGCCTTGAATTTACAGAGATCCACCTGCCTCTGCCTCCTGAGTGCTGGGATTAAAGGCATGTGCCTCCAATGTCCCAGCCATGTCCAGTTTTTTTTTTTTTTTGTTTTGTTTTTTTTTTTTTTTTGGTATAGGTGCTGGAACCTAAACTCAGGGTCTTTTCTTTACATGGTAAATGCTGCTACCCACCCAGTCAGATTTCTAGTCCCCAGTTATTTTCTGCTTGGTGAACTCTGTGAAATCCCAGGTCATGGTTACTTCCTTCACTGCTGAACTCAGCAACTGAGAAAAAGTCCACAAACTGTAATATAGTATCTGCATCATAAATATTTAAAATATAAAATGTTTGGTTCAATTAATCAAAAAAAATCAATTCTACATTGAAATAGAGTAATTTCAGTGAAAATTCTGTTTATGAATATATAATCCCCAATAACACATATAATCCCCAACAAAAGTCATAACTTTTGGTATATGTTTGTCCTGCTGCCTCTTGTTGATGGTTAGCATGTCTGCTAGTTCTTCAGTCTCAGATTTGAATCAAGCAAATGTTTGGAGCTAATGGATATCCTCAGCAAGGGATCAGGCTAATTTGAAGAGTGTAGGTGGGTTTCATCTTGAGCCTGTGCAGAATGTCTGAAATCGCTAAAGGATGAGTACATCACTGAGAGGAGCCTTATGGATACAAATTCATTTTCTCTGTATATGTGAGAACAGATGCACAAAGAGGAAGTGAGTCTTTTATATAAAAATAGGAACCAAGAGCTACCTTACCTGAACAGAAATCATCAGAGTATCGATCATAAACAGCTCTACAGTCCCTTTCATCACACTCGCATGTGTCCCCATGAATGTCTCCCCAGTCCCCAGTCGGATCAACATCATGGCAAGAACATTCACCACAAACACATGTTCCTAGACGGGAAAAAATGAATTTCATGGGGGGGGGGTTTAGACAATACAAAAACTGTAAAGCATCTTGCATATTTATTACTTAAAATATTGATTCTTTTATATTTCAAAAGTAAATATGTCTAGATAAAATAGTATAAGAAAGTGAAACACCATCTAAAGTTGATGGCAGAGAACTCTTAATAAGCAAAAGTTATCTATAATTATGTGCAGTTATTTGATATGCCAGTAGCATTGTGTTTATTTCCCTCAAAGTTAATATTAAAACAATATATCGTCTTTGTCTGCAAGAAACTTAGAAACGGTTTGACCAAAATGTGAAGGCAAAGGTAACAGAAAAATTAGCAAACTCAAAAACCATCACAAACATTTTGTGGAATAAGATGTAAGTGACTTAAGAGTTTAAGGAGTTTTATGTGAATGAAGAGTTAGGAGTAGACTATGGCAATATACCTGAGAGGGGAAATGCTTTAGCCAGCCTTAGAAGTAGAATCTAAGGAAAGTGAATAAGGTAACTGGTCAGGGTGGCAGGAATCTGAACACCTATGAAGGAAGACTATACAAGTTTGTTAAGTCAAATGCAGCTGGATCAGAGAAGGTGCTTGGGACAGAACTGAAAAATTGTGACCACATAGGTGGGAGATTTTACGTTGGAAAGTAATTCATTGTCAATAATATTTTCTTTAAAAAATTGCCAGTGCTCAGTCTGTAGGTAACTGGCAAATTATTTGGGACTTAAAAAAATAAATCTCTTCATTGCTTCTTTAAATAAAAATCAATTTGAGTAATACTTTAAATTATAAAATAAAACCATAGGATATGAACAAATTCATTCTTATTCAGAATATGTGAAACACAATTATTAAATGAAATAATGAAACATACTTAATTACATGCAAGTCTGAAATTTGTATTGGGACCAAAACTGCCTACAAATACCCAAAAGACTAAAACCATGGAAGCAAGTTGTCCATATGTATGCATATAGAAGACAAAAGTACACCTACAAATATATAACCAATTCTTAGGCATCAAGTTATACAGTTTAAATATACCTAATGTAAGACAGGCAAAGACAAAGAACATAAAATATCATAGAGAATTAATGATAAGCATGATGAGGGATGACCTGGCAAATAAATATTAGTAAGAGCTGGGGGGAGACCATAACAGTGAGTTAAAATTATTTTGGATGCCAGGTTATCACTAGCAATAATGAATGTATAATCTAGAGGCTTTGAAGATGTGGGTGGATATACTGCAATTGTTGGATACCAAGCCAATCAAACACAAAGGATTTAGGCAGAAGAGAGGTGCTTATGAGGAGGCAGTTCACATAAACAGAGGGTTTCCCTTGTGCGTGTGTGTGTGTGTGTGTGTGTGTGTGTGTGTGTGTGTGTGTGTGTTTGTGGCCCCAAATTTCTGACTTCCATTTTCAACAAATTTTAAGTCTTTATATATCAATATTTAAGACACAGTATCAAGATTTCCCTATGAATATAGTCTATTAAAATGGATTGCACCTTTATATAAATTGTAAAGAAAGCTTATAGCTTTCTATTTCTAATTGTTTTAAAGGAAAAAAAAGGTCACTCACTTATGACCAATTAGTCAATGAAAAACTAGCATGGCTAAAGCTCACTGTGTAAAAACATATGTGACCATGCCTGACACTTGACTCTGATTTCAGGACCCACATGGTAGGAAGGAACTGACTGTCTCAAGTTGTTTTCTGACCTTCACAGGAATGCCACGACAAATGTAAGTTTTTAATTTTGATTTTATACCAGTAACTAATAACTATAAATTACATTTGATATCCATAAGTCTCCAAAACTTCTGTTTAAGGTCAGTCTACAATTCATGAAGCTATTTGATTCTTGATTTCTGGTATCTATTGTGTTCAATACCTTTTTAGTATTGCATTCAGAAGTTAAATTCATTTATACCAATTCCACATTTCAGCCAAGACGTCCATTAGCCATGATTAAGACAGGAGGGTTGTCTGACTGCCCTCTAGATAATCAAACACTCACAATGTCGATGGTTCTGTTAGTCAAGAGGCATTTAGCATACCATCTCTAGGAATTGCCTTTTAGCTGTGTGGTACCAGCTTTGGACAGATGCCAAAGAAATTCCAGTCCCCATGCTAACTATTTGCTCAGCAAAGCTTAAATAATGACACCCAATTTATTTTTCCTTATCTATTCAGGAAAGAACAAGAACATAAGGATTGTTGGTGTCAATGTGAATTTCTAGGAAAGTGATTATGGATGATTATGCTGTCACATTGAAGGAAATACATCTAGATGAGGTCTTAACAGTGATGAGCTGTATTTGCCACAGTCATGTAGTAACATGTATGAGGGACACACCTCTGTTGCTGCAGATTTTGCCATCTGGAGATGTGCATCTTCGCTTGCTTTCCCAGGGGGTGATGTCACACTGGAATTCGCATTTATCTCCATGCCAACCAGCCTCGCAGTAACAGTTTCCACAGTAACACTTCCCATGGCCTTTACCCAAAAAGAATTTTATATGGTGAGGAAAAAAGCAACTTTTAAAAGCAGCATTAACTTTCTTTCTTTTCAAAATAATTTTTTTTTTACCTTTAAAAATAACAAGGGCTCCCAGATTCTTGCTGAAAATAATCAACTTATGCATTTTTTCTCCCAGTTGAGCTTATATATTAGTACAAATAAAGGCACCCAATGTATCTTTGTTTTGGCCTACATGGAAGATGATTAAGGATAAAGTATTTGTAAAGAAATGACAAGAATGACTGTGAAAGTCCATTACTCTTACGTTTGAAGTGCATACATCACTTGAATGTATGCAAGCCTTATTGTGCAGATGTTTCTTCAGTCATTAAAATTGTTATTTGAAATGAACTATTAATATAGTAGCAGTGCCTGTTTACTTAGCTATGATTGATTTATGGCTGAAGCATTCTCAAAGTGGATGAAATATGTCATCTTTTTGTTCCACTAGCTGTTGTATTGTGGAATACTATTTAACTAGGGAAAGACGTGTTTCACCTTTTTTTTTTCTTCAGTGCTGCAAAATATTACTTTATCTGTACAAAGGTCTCCTTTGTTTGTGCTGCATTTGTTTAATTATGTAAAGATCTGTTGCATTTGCTTCACCTTCCCTGTCTAAGACAATTAATCTAACAAAAAGCTGAATGGCCAATAGCTAGGGATAGAAAGGACAGGCAGAGCTGGGAGGCAGAGAGAATAAATAGGGGGAGAAATATAGGTTCAGAAAGATCTAGAGAAGAAGGGAGAGTGGGAGACACCAAGGGTCAGTCAACCAGCCACCCAGCCAGCCACAGTCAAGAAGGAAGGAAAAACATATAAAGAAAGGAAAAAACCCAAGGCAAAATGTAGATACACAGAAACCGGGTCAGTTAAAAACAAAACAAAAGCTAGCCAGAAGTGAGCCTAAGGTAGGTCAAGCATTCAAAACTAATAATAAGTCTTCATGTCATGATTTGGGAGCTGATGGGCAGCCCAAAAGAAAAACTCTGCTATACTGTTGTGTTCTACCATATGGAAATTTCTAAGTTAAACCAATAAAATGCAATGCATTCTTGAACTCACAATAAACTCCCACTCTGGTGTCAAACAAATACAAAAGAGAGATAAGGATGTGCCACAATGCCACACTGCAAAGACCGCATTGCTATCATCTTCCACATTTTCATTTGCACAACACACCAAGCCATCTGCAACAAACTGCCATCACTACATTTCCATCCTGAATGTCTATATGACCCTCCACAAAATCCTCCAAAATACTCTTTATGTTAAGATTAATTTTATGTGTGATCTCCTCTTTATAATTATTTTACTCAAAAATGGAAGAATGACCTCTTCATTTTCTATTCTAGACTTTATTAATCATAAAAGTTTGCATTTTGTGAGACTGACTAAAGTATACTTCCATTTCCCTCTTACAGGGCGGTGGAAATGTTCCTGCTTGACCACTTTTGAATTGCTTACTGGTATATTTTTTCATTTAAACATTATGATATCACTTTATTGATGAGTTATAATAAATTTCCATACTTTATGTGCAAGTTCTTAGAGTATTTATAAAATTCAATGTCTAAAAAAAAAGTTTGTTTAAAAATAATCCTTAAGATAAGGGGTTAATTCTGAAAGGAAACAAAGTGGGGGTAGATCTAGGGAAGAGGGAAGGTAAGGGGAGCTGGGAGAGTTGAGGGAGAGAAAACTGTGGTCAGGATAATTGTATGAAAGATTTTTTTTCATAAAAAATGAGACAAGAGGTTAAGTAGAAAAGAAAACACATGTAAAGCTACCCTTTATTACTGACATAAAAAAGATTCAGATGAAGGGTGAGAAAATACTTTGGGACAGGGTTGCATGAAAAAGAATAGATCCAGAGTCTGATATTTGGGTTCAAACTTAAAACTGAAGAACAGAAAAGCAAAGTAGCCATCCACTAGTTCTTACTGCTACCTTAGGCTGAAAGGACTTATCCTGCACCTCTTAGCGTGGCTGGAGAATCTTGAGACTTCATGTCTTTTTATCCTCAATGTGGCTGGAGAATGAATGCCTGAAGTGGACTACTGAAGACTTGCTCATATCTTTCATACCTTTCTAGTGACCCCAGGTGCTGAGATCATCTTTGTGTCATCTGTTTCTCTTTAGGACTGTATCACTCTTACATAGATCTGGGTGGCCTTGAACTTAGGGAGTTCTGTCTACCTCTTACTCTTGAGTCCTAGGATTAAAGGTGTGTACCACCACCTCCTAGCTTCTGGTTTCTGGGATTAAAGGCATGTACATGGTTTCTACAGCTTATGGATGGATTTTTTTCTGACTCCTTAGGCAAGCTTTAATAAACTATAAATAGTATATCACCTCAGGACAGCAGATGTTTATTAAAACAAAATATAATCTTCAGGACAATGCATATTCTATACAACAAACAAAAATTTCTACTTGATTTTTCCTGTGTAGTATCGGTGTAAACTATAAAATCCTTTCTCAACAGATTGTTTTTATGTGAATGACAAATGGAAAGTTCTAGGATTCTGAGTAGCATCACTCCCACAGATTGTTACTGGATGCTAGCATCTGTGGTTAGAAATGCTGTACGATGAAATTCCAAACAAGTAGAAACACCAAGTAACAAAGGTGAAAGTTAAACATGTCCTACTGAATTCTTTCAAGTTATTTTTTTTAATCTGCTTATATAAATAAGCTTGGCTCAGAAGAGTTTCCTTTGCTTTTGTTTTAGCCTGGTTATACATGCTGGTGACTAGGACAAAGGTCATTCCAGTTTAAGATAAGAACATTTGGATAACACTACAAGACTATCTGAAAGCCACTCTTCTCAGGAAGCTGGAAACCACAAGGCAGGCAGGCAGCATAAATTGTGAAGGGTCAGAAACACAGTTCTAATGTCAGACACCAGCCTCGAGGCTGTCATACAAGTGGGATGGCCCTGGGCATGTTGATCATGTTGCCTATGTCTCTATTCACACTGATTGAATAGATACAATTGCAGAGTGAATCTTTCAGGTATCATAAGACATAATATGTTGCATATAAAGCATGTTTTACAGCCCTTAACAATAAGGAACATGCAAGAATTAACACAAGAAGAAAAAAGTGATGGAATGATAGTGACACAAAAAATGTGAGTGGAGTATTATCTACATGTAGGGGATGCTAAGAGAGGAGCTAAATTAAGTTAGCCATACCATCATACTCCTGTGTCTCCCATTAAGACATGGAACTATCTAAAGACTTTTGATTTAGAAAGAGACTAAAAATAACATTTAAGAGAAAAGAAAAAAAATAATAAAACACACACACACACACACACACACACACACACACACACACAATAGTAGCTAATGTGAGCAAAAGAAACACTTTCCTAATAGGACTACTTTCAGAATATGCTGCTGGCTTATTGCATCAGTAATGTTGCTCTCCTCTGGGGACAATCTACTTTTGCATTTAAATAGTTCTAGAACACTCTGAAAGCCTAGAATACAATGCAAGGGGTAAAAAAGAAAAGAAAAAAGAAAGAAAATCAGCAGCTTTAACTTTCCATTCTTAATATACATACCTCCACACACTTCTTCTGTTTCATCATCTATGCATTCTCTATCATCGCACTCACAAAATTTACCATAAATGAGTCCATTTCCATCTGAATTATCACACTTGCACCTGCCACAGTGACATGTACCTAAAGCAGTAAAACAATGAGAATTATAATTAATGATGCTTTCCCATATTTCTTTCAAGTAGGTAGAGAACTCAAACCAAATTAATGTTACAATTACACATTTCTGTGGCTATGGTGAGGTAGAGGAGAAGCTACTTATTTTTGAGATCATTGTGGCACAGATACTAGAATTTGTATTTCACAGTTATTATTATTGACCTCTAGTCGTTTAATGAGCATCAATGTGACCCCCTCATAACACAGAGGTCTGTATATATGTCTTTTTGAAACAAGTAGTGGATGAATATTGTCTAATCACCTGTGATAAAGGGAACTAAAACACTTTTAAGCTTCTGACTAAAGAAGAAATTTTGCTCATCTTCCCCATCAGTATTTGTTCAATGTTTTGCCTCGTGTCAAACCGTATTATTTATATACTAAATATTTAGATAAATATTAAATAATAAATGTTAATGAATGTACAAACAAAAAAATGTATGTACCCTGAGGGTGTCACATCTCAGCATTGGCTGACATTCTTGTTCTGAGGATGACAGGACCACAGTGGGTTTTCTTATGCACATTCCTGGGACCTCAACAGTATCTCAAAGCAGTTCAGAGAATGTTAGAGATCCTGGGAACATTAGATCTACCACAAGCCATTTACTTACTTTACCAGAGTGTTTAGCAATTCCCCACAAGAGTAATCACTTTTCTGAAATACAGTAATATTTTACTGGAAGTAACATTTTATCCAAACAATGTTAACAAATCAGATGCCTACCTGCTCTAATAAATAGTTTTCCACTTTGAATTGATCCTTACAGCAATTGACATATGAAATCTAAGACATTATGCGTTACCAAGATGGCCGTAATCTCTGGAAATTCAACAGGCAATCAGGTCACCCGTAGGAAATAATTGTGCTAACTAAATAGAGAAGTGCAAATGTTGAAAATGTGAGATATAGCTGAGAGCTGGTTGTTAAAGAGAAAATCCTGAGTAAGTAGTTGAGAACTGAAAGCCAAGCTAAGCAAAATAAATAATAAACAGTAAAAATAAGACACAAAAGCAAAAGCATCAGTGTTTGACGAACAAATAAAATAGGCCTGAAAAGTAATATCAAATGAACAAAATTACTAGATGGAAGCTTCTAGAAACTGTGTAGTTGATGCTAAAGATCTCCAACACCTGTATTTTCACAAGGACCACAAGAAAAGACACGCATGTGGATTAGGTGTTTATTGCTGTCACATGGGACATGAACTGAAACTGTGGAAAATGGGTGCTACGAAATGAATAATGAAGAAATGAAAAGTACTGTAGGATGTCACAGGCTGAATAAACAGTAACAGAGAGTTAAGAAAATACAGGCATATTTGAGAAGATTATTGGAAGGAAGAGCAGACAACATTTAGTGGCCAGTTGAGTATAAAGCATGGCAGGGGGGGAGGGAAGGGTCTTGAGAGAAATCAAGAATGATCTTTGGCCTGAGTGATGGTACAGCAGTTATTCTGTGCGTGGTTACAGGGATGAACACAGTTTTCTATTCGGGTACAATTACAGTCAAATGCAGGTTTTAATCCTGTCTGGGTAAGAATCATTAGTTTAAAAGCACTTCTATTGCTCATTCTAAGATCCGACATGTTCACATAGTCTCTTGTTCACAAGATAACTGCGAGGCTGAGTGACAAAACCAGTAGCCATTCTCTTCTGAAGACTCTGCTGTACCTGGTGCACAGGAGGCTTTCAGAAGACCATCAGTCTTTCCTGATCTCTCTTTAAAATATCAGCTCATTAGTCACAGTCTGAATATCTTTCCCAGACTCACCTTGAATCTATGGACCTTGATAGAATTCTTATTTTCATGCCTTCCACGTTCTTTTGCTACCAAAATCCCTGCAATTTGCTAATATCTGTAAGAGGGCTTCCTCTCACAAAATCACAAATAAACAGTGATTTTGCAGGATCTGACTGTGTTGTTTTGTACCTTGAGGGTAAGCCTGTGAATCTGACATATATTAAACTCAATTCTCTTGTACTATTTTTTTTTCTGAAGCCTATTTTAACTTATAAATATTACTTTAGATGTAAAGATATAACTTTTGGTACTGATCCATTTATTTTTTTTCTCTCATTATCACCTTTCGCTTTTACTTTCACATCTTTCTGTCTCGCTGCCACCCACATATTTAGTTATTAAGCTTTCTTGTGACCTATTATGCTATTGTCAATGTGCTATTTCTGAGATAATAAGATAAAGAAAATTAAGTAAATGAAAGATCAGAAAGAAAAATGAACATGATACAAATGTACACCTCCATATTTTATAAACATACAACACACACACATGGAACTAGAAACTACACATCAGAAAGACATTCATAATAGAGTCAAAGCAAGTGTTACACAAAAATGATTGGTTCTGCAAGGGGAAAACAATGGCATTAGCAAGAAGTAAATTCTTAAGTTGTTGCTGATAAATGGGAAAAAATTCCAATAAGTGAATTGAAATGCAAAGAAGGCTTATGGTAATGAGAAAAAAAATGAGTAGATAATTATGGTGAAAAATAACAGACTAGGTAAAAATCTGAAGAGTTTGAATGACAGAATGTAATGAATACGTGTGGCAGAGATGAAGAATATTGGCTAAGGATTTTTAAATTATCCTGGAATACCAGGAGTCTGCCATGGTTTGGCAGCAGAGAATCTTGGTGAGAGATGCATACACACAAGTCATTTTCCCTCCAGAAAGATGAGCAGGAACTATCACTGCCTCCAAGTTTCATGAGTCCTCACTGACGTCTTCTATTGGCAGGCTCATTCCCATCCACACATGTTAACCATTCCTCACCAGAGTGGGAAGTCTCCAACAGCTTAGAGACTTCCTGCCTTACCATCCAGCAGGATTCACATATGAGCCTCTAAGACATGGCAGATGGGAGCCCAGGCAGAAGTGCCAGACTCCTGTGTTCCCGCTGTGTCATCCTACGTCTCCCTCTTGGTTGCCAGTCAATCACACTCTAGGACTGGTAGCTTTGTACTTGATTATTTTAGCTCTAGTTTTTCCCGCTGCCTAACAAAGGTGTTTCTCTCTACAGTGACTTACCAGACTTGAACGCCAATCTACCCTCTGTTCCAGGGTGCTGAGGCTTCACCTTGCTTGGCACATTGTCACTGTTGAGGAAGCTCCTGGAAATGTGGTTCTCAGTTCCTTCTAAACATGCCTTTCAGTTCATGCCCCACACTGGTTACCTCTTCTCCCTCTTTTATACTCTGTACCCATCAGCTTCCAGAGAATCAATGAAAAGAAAAGACAAAACTACTAAGGGAGATGTCTTAGTTAGGGTTGCTATGTGATGAAACACCATAAGGAAAAGTTAGGAAGGAAAGGGTTTATATGACTTAAACTTCGACATCACAGTTCATCATCAAAGGAAGTCAAGACAGGAACCTAAGCAAGGCAGGAACCTGGAAATAGGTGATGCAGAGGCCATGGAGGAGTGCAGGTTACTGGCTTGCTACTCATGATTCCCTCAGACTAATTTCTTATAGAATCCAGGACCACCAGCCCAGGGATAACACTGCCTACAGTGAGTTGGGACACCCACCCCATCAATCAATAATTAAGAAAATGCCTTATGGAACAATTTTCTCAATTGAAGTTCCCACCATTCCAGTATGTCAAAACTAGCCAGAACAGGGGAGTAATACAATTTGGAGTGGCTGGTAATGGAATAGGCTGGTGGAAAATATTATTAAAGGGGAAGTTGATGAGTACAAGATTGGCAAAGCAGACCAAAAGGCTTGGACATGAAGACAAAATGTGAAGGCAAAGATTAAATCTAAATTTGCATGTAACTTTTCCTTTTGCCCCAGAAATCTCACTCCTGATATTTGTCTTGATAGTAAGATCTCCAAAAGAAGGAAAATGCAAATAGCCCAAATAATGTCACAGATTATTATTTATAATTTCCAAATAATAGAAGCTCCAAATGCCTAAGTATAGGAGGCAAATTGAGTAAATGGCACTGCATAGAAAAACTCAGTACTGAGCTGTGGAGAAAAGAATAGGAAAGACTCTCAAACATTCAACACTCATGTGGAGTTGAGTGACAGAGGCAGAGGCAGACTGCTAAATATCGTAGTGATCTTGCTGCCTTGTATGTGAAGTATAAAAGAAAAATACTGGTTCTAGAGAGATAGCTCAACGGGCAAGGATGCTTGCTCCACAAGCATGAGGGCCTGATTTCAAATCATCAGTATCAGTCAAAGCTCTGTGTGTCTGTTACCTCAGCACTGGAAGGCATAAAAGTGTGGTCCTAGGAGTTTTCTGAACAGACAGCATAATTTAATTAGTAATCTTCCCAGTCAATGAAAGACCCAGCATAATTTAATTAATAACCTTCAATGAAAGACCCTGTTAAGACAATAAGGCAAAATATCCAAGATACTTCTCTAGACTCTATATACCTGCATAGGTATTTGCACTTGCATACTCCTGTGCACACACTACCTCCACAAAACACTATATTAAAAAAAAAAATACTAAGAGAGGCTCTGACAAAGGAGGGGGAGGTAGAAAGCCCAAAGCAGCAAAGTTAGTTTCTTACAAAGCTAACACTTCCCAGATGTGAGAGATTCTCTATTCACTAAAGACAGTGATGAATCTCTAAATATGCCTTCTGCATAGCGTTGCCTTTGGACACCTCTTCATCCTCTATAATTTTATTAATAATGAAGGGAAGATGAGCTAACCAAAAAAGACTTAAAAGTAAAAGCAAACAAATTAATAAGCACAAGTGTATTTCAAATGAGCATCATAAGCACTCTAAAAAGAGATTCAAAGGAAACAAAAAGAGATTCAAAGGAAACCAAGTAACTTATGACTATAGCTTTGACTAGACCCCTAACCTGAGGCATGGTTAGGGTGGAATGAGGGTAGGTGAGATCGAATTGGGACTAAGTCCATTTTTGGTTTTGTATTTATTTTGTATAGTTAGATATATGAACAATTATTACAAATCAATTTCAGATGTGGGTAGTACAGAATTTAGAAAATAAATAAATGCATTGCTGCTGTGAGAAGGCATCATGAAAGCCAAATTGAGCAACATTTCATTAAACAAAATAAATAAAAGCACAGTGGTTGTGGTGGTTTGAAAGAAAGTGACCCCCCCCCAAAAGGAGTGGCACTATTAGGAGGTGGAGCCTTGTTGGAATGGGTGTGGTCATTTTGGAGGAAGTGTATCACTGTAGAGGCAGGCTTGAGGTCTCTTATAAGGTCAAGTCAAGCCCAGTGAGACAGTCTACTTCCTAGTGCCTTCTGATAAAGATGTAGCTAGAACCATGTCTGCCTGCATGCTACTATGCTTTCCACCATGATGATAACAGATTAAGACCTCTGAACTGTAAGAAAGCCACCCCAATTAAATGTTTTGCTTTGTAAGAGTTGCCATGGTCACAGTGTCTTCTCACAGCAACAGAAACTCTAACTATGATGGTGTGCATAGTGGCACATGCCTGTGATCCCAGTACTAGGGACAGAGGCAGGAAGCCCATACTAAGTTTGAGTCTAATCAGGAATATAGGGAGAACTAACCCAGCCTGGGCTAACCAGTGAGACCTTGCCTCAAAAAATTCAAACAGCAACAACATTAATACAAACAGCCTCAAAAAAATAAAAAAAATAAAAATAAAAAAGGGGCTAAAATATAGGTGTTTTTGTGTCTGTACAAATTTATCAGTTCTTTGAAGTAAAGAAAAAAATCTATGAATTATAGAAAAGTATTTATAAAATATAACATGGTAAATAAGGATCTGGGAAATGATAGACTGATGGATGTTCATTTGGGGAGAAATCATACCAGAAAAAGTTGACCAACGCAGGTTCCCATCCCAAGGATGCCTCTGGATGCTCTCTGTCCTCAACCAGGAAGTAAGAGAGTAACCTGGGGTCCTGGACCCCAAACCTAGTACTCCTGGTCAAGCCTACACCTGGCCCTACGCCACAATGGGTGTGGTCAGCGAAATAACTCCTATGAAATACATAAATATTTTGCAAAAAATAAAAATCAGCAAAACCAAACAAACAAAAAATCTGAACCAACCAAACAAATAAACAAAAAAAAGTTGCCATCATTAGAACCTCAAGAAGGTTCAAAACCAGTATCTGAAATTTCCATGGAATTGAAAATTGCAGTTTTTTGGGGTTTTTTTTTTTCTTGTTTTTTTTTTTTTTTTTTTTTTTTTTTTGCTGCTAAGTACTCTTGATCTCTAATACAGAATAATTAAGCCGGTTGTGTAAGCCTTAATCAACACTTTAATCCAGCATTCAACATCACTGCTTTCCACGTCCACAGAACATCACTCAGAGTCATCCCTGATGAATACCTTGCTTGAAGGATTCATCAGAAACAGCTGGAGAATCTCAAACTAGCAAGTCCCAGCAAGATGACATCCTTTTTCCTTATCAATTTATCTAATTATTTTTTAAAAAATGAATATTTAAAACCAGTCCCTTTCAGATGTTCACCATTTCTACATGTCTATAAAATTCAATCAAAATCCAAAGTTTGATTATTTTAATGAAGAACTTACAGGGATGCATCTCTCACCTGCATTGGAGCAGATAACATCTTGAGAGTTCTTGCACATCTGGTTGCTGATTTTTTTTGTCAGGTCACACTTGGTTGGGTACTGGCAAGCTTCCCCGGACCAGCCCGCATCACACTTGCACTTGCCACAGTCACAAGTTCCATGGCCTGAGAGAGCAACAACATCTGGTGAGACTCAGACTTTTTCTTTTAACCAAAGAGGGTCTATCATAACAAGGACTCTTAAGGGTGGTGTTCTTTCTGCTACACTGTCGATCCTGGGCCCTCATTGGGACTCCTCTTGGATATCTTGCCTGTGTCGTGGAGATTCTGCAGCTTTGGATCTGCAGGACCGGCCCCTTCACATGCTCATCAGGACATAGATGGAATGGATGTTGGGGTGAGCCAACTCCATCCCTGGTTCTGAGCACGAGCAGTCAGTCCACCAGATCTTCCTTATCCATCCTCCTCAGCACTGCCTCATCTCCACCCAAATGCAGACCTCAGCAAGGGAGGGGCTGGTTCTCTTGCACTCACACCATTGGGTGGCTTACTTGTCAGCACCACCATGGCCAGCTCTACTGTGTTACCCAGGCAAGGTACAGGGCCACACTCAGGAAACTTGGGGACAGGCAGGGCCAGCTCTGCCACTCTCATGTCCCTGAGGCCAGCTCTCACACTTGTCATATGTGGTAAGAAGAGCCGGGTAGGGCATCTCTCCCTCACCCATGCCACCACATGCCAAATGAAGGCAAGACCAGCTCTCTTATGCTGATATTCTTGGGCTGGCTGGTTCTGCACCATCTCCACCCTTGTCAACATGGTCAGCTCTACTGGGCTGCCCAGGCAAGGTGCAGTGTCTCATCTCCCAAGTGTTTCAGCTGGTGAGAAGAACAGTTCTGCTTCGTGACCCTGTGCCAGCTTTCCTGCCTAGAGCAAGTGACAAGAGACAAGGGGGGAGGGGTTCTCGCCCTTCTCATGCCCCAGCATGACAGATGGACGAGTAGTAGGACCAACTCTCCCATGCTCATACCCTCAGCCAGCTCATCTGCAGCCTCATCAACAGGGTCAGCTCTGCTGTGCTGCGCAGGACAAGTGCAGGGATCTCTTTCTCCAGAGCGCTGCAACCAGTGAGCGGCAGGACCAGCTCTCCGACTTTCATGACATCAGGGCCAGCTCTCCCACCTGACACATGGTGAGGGAGGGGGCCAGGGGTGTGCATTTCTGCCTTCCCTATATAATTCAACTATTTTGGTTATCTGGTGCCTCTCATCTACTCTCTTTGGACCTCCTGTCTGATGCAACTGGTTTCCCTGTCTTCCCCTCTCCTCTCTCTCCTTCCCCCATCTCCTCAGATGGCTCAGGGACATATCCAGGGAACCTCCCAGATACCCCTGACTCTGTCTATGCCCTTTTATCTGTAATAAACTTTCTCCTCCACCATGTTCCTTTACTTTTTGTTTCCATTCATCTAGTGCTGAAACCCAGGGCCCATCATGTCCTTCCTTTTCTTTTTATTTTCTTTTTTCATTCAATGTTAATCCAAATTCATGAAGTGGAAAAGCTTCTTTCAGTTGGTAAAGAATCTTAACATTGTATTGACTTTTTAATGACATTAATTTGTTAGGTGAACTGCAAGTATTGACAATTCTCCCAGTTGCATTTGAACCATTTCTAATGGTTAATTACAATAAAAATGGTTCATATCAACAGGAAAGGATACAGCATTTATCTATAATATAAATAACTATGGAATTAGTGATTGGTTGATTCAAGAATAAAATGACTACCCCATGATTCTTTTACATTGCATGGAACATCTTACATTCTAATTCAAAGATGTGTGTGTGTGTGAGAAGGGGGGGTGAGAGATTGAGAGAGAGAGAGAGAGAGAGAGAGGGAAAGAAAGCCAACATTTTGTACTTTTGTGAGTCAAAGATTACAAAATTGTAAAGAATGATATTAAAAGATAAAGAGAGAGAAAGGGAATTTATATAGAATAGGAAGAGATAGTCCATGCCAAACTGACCCCAAGGATCACTGTGGAAGCAAAGTTCTAAGGAGTTTATTTCTCACTGTGGTCCAGGGAGACCCAAGTTCTATTCCAGCATGATCTCTTCTTATCAAATTCCATATTCAAGACATTACTTCCAGGCAAGATCATGTCACATTTATAGAAGCAAATGTTAGGACTTCATGTATTGCTTTGTTCCACCCACAAGCAACAGAGAAGCACCTCCAGTCTTCTCCTGTCTCCCAGATATGTCATTCATTCCCATCATGATTACACATTTCTTTAAGTCAGAGTATAACCCCTAATCCATGTGACCCAGAACAAGGTTCACACTTCTCAGGTCAAAAGGCAGTTTTAGATAGCCCATGTCTACATCAAGTCCTAGCTAGAAAAGTAGTCCCCAAGCCTCTGTAGAATGAATAGTTTTGGTGTTTCTTTTCTAAAACTTCAATTTCCATAGCTTTGAAATTCAGTGTTTAAATGAATAATGCAGCATACTTGACAACAAGCCCATTGACCTTCAAGTAAGTTCTAAGGTGTCAAGGGAAAACAAACACACAAAATAAAAATGTCAGAGAAAAGCAAAATAATACCCAGCCAATGCAGTAGGGACAACACAAGCAGGGTTTCTTTTGTTCTTTGCAGGCTCAGCCATGGTGAAGCCAGTCACACACACACACACACACACACACACACAGAGAGAGAGAGAGAGAGAGAGAGAGAGAGAGAGAGAGAGAGAGAGAGAGAGAGGGAAGGCAGGTTGTGGTGAAATAGTAAATCATACCTAATCTCCTGGGTGAACTAACTTTTTGCTCCTACGATGATACAGAAAGAATAATTTTTTTAAAGTTATCAAGCCATTGCCACTAGTTCATCACTACCTGATGGGTTTTAGAAAGAGCAATGTGAAAGGATTACCCTCTTCCTGAAGTGCTGGTGAGCTCCTTAGAAGGTGTGGTAGTATGTACCTAATTGCCTCCCATAAACTCATGGGGAGTGGTAATATTAGGAAGTATGGCTTTGTTGCAGTAGGTATGGCCTTGTAGAAGAAAGTGTGTCACTGTGGGGAGGGGCTTTGAGGTCTCAGATATGCTCAAGCCACGTCTTGTGTCTCAGATCACTTCCTATTGCCTGCAGGATCAAGAGGTGGTGCCTACTCTCAGCTGCTTCTCCAGCACTGTGTCTGCCTGCATGCAACCCTGTCCCATCATGAGAGTAATGGAGAGTAATCTCTGAAAGTGTAAGCCATCTGATTAAATGTTTTCCTTTTTAAGAGTTGACATGGTCATGGTGTCTTTTCACAGCAATAAAAACCCCAAGACGGAAGACATCAGAGAGCAATGTAGAAATTGGATGCTTTTACATGTACAGTAATTGTTTCCAACTAAAAATAAAAATGCTTTTAGTGCTGAAAATACTTTAAAGCCAATAAGAAACTATACTTCCCTCTGCTGAACAGAAGGAGCAAAAATGAGGAAAGGGTAGCACTTTTCTGTCTTTCAAATCTCCTATCTTATAGGGAAATAGAATCCCAAGATGAAAACTCCAGGGATCATGTTTACTGATAAGCAAGTCCACCATATTTGGGCCCAGGACTATGAACAACCCATCTGTGGCTGAGGACCCATGAGGCAAAAGAGACTGAAGCATCACAAAGGAGGCTTTGATGAAGTACATTGTAAGTAAACTTGTGAGGAGAGTAAGAAAAGGGACCAGCAAAACAGCATGAAAATTTGCAGGGAATGAGACCTGGAGGACAAACCTAGACCACAAACAGATCTTTTGGGAAACTGGATAGAAACCAGGGAAGCCTGCAATCTCCTTTAGCACGTTTTTCTTTTAATTTGTCAGTGCATTGTGTTACGTAGGATGTTGACAGCAGAGAAGGCTGAATGAAGGGTGTGCAAGAAGCTGGACTGTGTTTTCAGCTCTTTTGGGAGTCTAAAGTTATTTGGAATTCAATGTATAAAACCATGAGCGTGCTGTATGTGATGGAACCAATTTTCTCGCTGTAATTCTTAAAACTAACTTTAACTCAGATGCAATATTTATTAGGTAATGTACACCATATGTGTGTGAATTTGGCACATATTGGCCAAATTGGCATACTATATCAAAGAGAACTGAATAGTAGCTGCTACACATATTTAGAAATTCAGTCAGCAAAGGAATTGTTTCCAGAGAGGGTATTTTACTGGCATGGTGGACAATTGCCTACTGATACAGGCCTGCTTGCTCTGGTCTCTTCTAATCAGTGGTAATTCCTAAACTCTCCCTGTGTTGAAGACATTCAGATCTCTGAAATGTCTAACTTTTCTTGTTGTTTTTATTCAATGAAGTTTTAATTTGTGATTTTCAAGCACATTGAGACTATAGGTTAACAAAAAGACATAGATACTTATGTCCACAGGTACAGGGTCATGTGACAGACTTGAATTTCTTTCAGTGTTACTTTGAAGTTTGTGATATTTCACAAGCACCCCCACGGTCAAATTTCCACTCACCACCTTGTGTGTAATACAGATTGAAGCAACACTTGGAGGTTATGCAAATAACCTGCTTCTGTCTAATATTTTTACCATTATCTTCAGCATTTATCACAGTCTGGTCCACATTTAGGAACAACTTAGTGGCAATTTTCTATTTCCTTTATTCTCAACATTCATTTCTTTAACCACAGAATTATTTCTTCCCCTCATTTGTTTATATGATATTTTTTTAATTTCTGTATGTACTTCACATATTTTTTCTTTTCATAGCAGATATAATACTATTGTTTATATTATTGTTAAAATTCTACTATCTTTGAACATTAAGAAACCTTATATTTCTTATTTGGTCTTTTAACATATACATACATATAGTTTTGTATATTATATATATAGTATATATATATATATACATATATATATATATGTCAAGCACAAAGTAGTTTATCGTTATTCAATTAAATAGAAACAGACCTGTTAGTTATATTATATAGCATTCACTATATACACAGAATTTAGGCAATGCTAGTCAAATTTTTTCTTTAACAGCCACTTAGAATCTGTCTATAGATTCTCTCTAATGTAAAGTTTAATCTCCTGTTAAAAATAAACAACTTTGAGTCCTCCAACTTGCAGAATGATAAAACTTTGATTCTATGAGGGAC